CATGAAAATAACCCCTCCCCCGAAAATAAGCCCTCTGCCCTTTTCTTTCCCCCAAAAGATAATAAGACAGTGTCTTATTATCGGAGAAACACGGTATGTGAAGAAAGGCAGCATAGGAAGGAAGGAAGGAATAAACAAACAAATAGATGCACTTCTATTCAGCTGTACTCTCTGAAGCTTTTGCAATATTTACAAATCTACTTTAAACTTGGAAACCACATTTGTATTACTTATTTTGCACATTGTCCAGTAGGCACCTATAGCAATGATATAAAAATGGGCATAGCTGTTGAAGCAGTGTCTGTCAGTGAAAATTTAGTGGGCTTATTTTTAGTTTTGAAGAAAGACAGGAAAAGGTGTAAAAATCATCAGTCACATGATTTAAAATGAAACCCCTCTTCCACAATTACTGCAACATTCATTTCCCTTCTCAAAGTCTGCAATATCCTGCTGCCCTCTGCAGGGGATTCCTGCCTTCAGAAAAGGGCTGGGATTCTTTCCAGTCCTAATCTGAAGCTTCATTAAACCTGCAAAATGTTTGTATTACAGGCAAGAAGACAATTACCCCTCTGCAATATGGTAACCCATATTTTATGAAAAATAAGTGTCCATACTTGAGAAACGTTCTTTTGAGTAAACATGCATAGAAGTGGGCTAAACATGGAGACCATTTTTGGGACATACTGAGCAGAGGGCTTCGATCTTGGAGTTTTTACAACCTCGCATGCTCCCTGTAGTTTGTTCGGCTGGGATGACTGTCAATCTATCTAGCATTAACTGATCATTTCCTTCTACCCCAGAATTGAAAGAAATCCCCGCCTCTATGTTGCAAGATTTTCCTTTTTTCCTCTTTTGTCTGTTGAAGTCAGTTGTCAGTTTGTTCTTTTCATTTGCTGTTATCTGTTCCCTGCTGTAAGTAATGAAATGTTTTTATTCTTTCTCATTACTAATGTCTCAGAGTGAGACTGTAACAGCCATTTAATGAAAAAAGGGGTGGACTATCCGAGGAACTTGAAGCTATTCTCCTCTTTGTATCTGTGTAATTTGGCTGTGAATAAAAAAGGAGAATTTTAACCAGAAATTCAACACTCTGCAACACTGAAGTCTTGTCCTGAGCTTCTCAAATGTTTCTTCCCAGAATTATGAGGAATAATGACATCGTTGATTCAGCAGAAGTCTCCAGGTGTAAGAAAAGAGCAAGTTTTCAAATCAGAGAGATCCGATGGAAAAACAGCATGTTCCTCATTATCCTTTCCTGAGCAGATGTAAGAAGCTGTGTCTTAAGATTTAAGACTTTTGAAAAAATTACTGCCTCCTTTAATGCAGGTAGAAGTACTTACTGCAATCAGCTTCATCTGACCGGTCTTTGCAGTCAGGTTTGTAATCACAGACAAGGTGAGACTCAATGCATTTCTTGTTCCAGCACACAAAGTCGGTATCAGCAGGGCACACCGCAGGATCCTCTCCAACTGAAACCAACAGGACAGCGAAATCAATACTTTAATTAAATCAAAGAATGTCCTTTTTGATTTGTTTACCCATTACACGCTATCACTTCAGTGATTTACAGCTTCCAACAGATGTTATTCAATCCCTCTCACTTTTAATGATGCCTTGTACCTGCTTAGACTACTCTATTGCCCGCATTCAGAGTGGAGGAGAGCTCAGGCTTGAATAGAGTGCAGTGCCAGGACAACAGTTCATTCACTTCGTGTGAGTCCAGGTGAATGAGAACATAATAACATTGACGGGGAATAAATATTAAAAAAACATGCAGAGCAATGGCAGTGATGCGCAATGCCAAACTATTGTTAGATAGAGGAAGAAGTACAGAAATGGAATAAATAATTGAATAAATGTTAATAACAATATGAATGAGCACAGACTTATACAGAAAGTAGGGTTTTCCTTTATTTGTCCCCAAAGGTAGTATCATGAAAAATCAGAAGTCATTTTTAAACTGGGAGGAATTCTTAAGATCATATGTCATGTATAAATACAGTATAGGGAGGAGGGAGTTTTCTGTGTTCAGGACTGGTCCAGGACATTTTGCTGCTGGACCACAGTAGCAAATTGAGACCCTTGCCCACCCTTGTCAAAATGCAAAGTACCCAAAAGATAGCCACGTTATGTTGAAAGATGAGGCAGACGATCTTACAAACAATGGTCTCCATTCCTACCAGTCACTTTCAGGAGAAGGGCAGGGTATCCAGACTTTAAACAAATAATGAAACAAACAATACATTATATAACTAACAGTTTGATGTCCTTTCATGACACCCAAAATCTGCTGCCAAAAGGCTATCTCATTTTGTCTGATGCTAGGGGCAAATCGCCAGACAAGCCAGTAATACAAGCAACGGCTGACATTTTATTCCCCACCCCACATTCTGGGGAATGGAGTGCCCTGTTTGAGCTACCTCTAGGCACGCCTGCCTGCAGTATAAGCAAGAGAGGAATTCTCTCTGTTGTGAGACTTCATTACCTCATGAAGTGAACATTAATCCAAGACAGGAGGCCAATAGGGCTGTGGCCATAAGATGCTCAGAGTAGCAACCGTGACCTAGCAAAATACTGAGGATGACAGAAGAAACACATATAAATCCAAGTGCCACATTCCAAATGATCAGTCTTCAGAAACCTGTCAATCACCTTGCTTATTAGTTCTGGTAAACAACATTCTGAAAGCAAAATGATTTTATTTGGTAGTAAAAAAGAAAAAAAGAAAAGAAATACCGGGCATAAAATAAATGTTAAATCTGTTGCCTACTGAAAAAATTATGAAACACTGATGACAAAATGGTTACAGGTCATAATAGACTCAGAAATACAAAGGGATCATGACAGAACACATCCAAGGTTGAATTTTATAGAGCAGGTTTACTGTCCATGTTCTAAAAATGGTTCTAAAAATGATGAGGAAATGGAAAGTGAGGAGGACAGTAATTCAAGGACCTCCTCAGAAAATAAACATGGCCACCTAGGGTCAAAAATCCTTGAAGTAAGTGGTTGCTTTTTCAGAAAGTCTCTTTCACAACACTCCTATGGATAGTTGGTGCCCTCTGTCACTGGAGGAACCAGACATTGGTTCATGGGCAGCTGAGAAGACGGCATAAGCAGAATCCTATACCCCTTCAGGCTCATTTTTTACTGCCAGTGAATGATTTAGAATATATCTTGGGGGGGGGGTTAACTAAAGGCTTGAAATTCTGCGGCAAAGTTTGTGGCACTGCTGGATATGTCTGTATTGATATATATATATATATATATGTCCTCCCTCCTGATGGAAAATGGTTCTAAAAATGATGAGGAAATGGAAAGTGAGGAGGATAGTAATTCAAGGACCTCCTCAGAAAATAAACACGGCCACCTAGGGTCAAAAATCCTTGAAGTAAGTGGTTGCTTTTTCAAAAAGTCTCTTTCACAACACTCCTACGGATAGTTGGTGCCTTCTGTCATTGGAGGAACCAGACATTGGTTCATGGGCAGCTTCTGGGTGGAAAATAACCAACTGAGAAGACGGCATAAGCAGAATCCTATGACCCCTTCAGGCTCATTTTTTACTGCCAGTGAATGATTTAGAATATATCTTGGGGGGGGGGTTAACTTAAAGGCTTGAAATTCTGTGGCAAAGTTTGTGGCACTGCTGGATACGTCTGTATTGAAATATATATATATGTCCTCCCTCCTGATGGATGGAGACTAACATTTTGGACAATTTAGCAGGCAGATTTGGAATTGACATGAGAGTAGGTAAGATGGAGCTTCATTTATAAAAGGACACGGCATAGAGATTACATCACTCTTTCCACAGAAGAGACTTAGCAGTGGTGCAAGTGATACATTGCTGTATGCCAGTTTCATCCATGCTCTATTTCATCTCCTGCTACTTGTGCCCTGACCTCTTCACAGGGATGGGGACCCGAGTCACAGGTCATGTTGGACTTCAGTTGCACCGGTGACTTGTCTCAGACTTGACTTGTGTGGGTGTTTTTTTCCCCAATTACTCAGACTCGATTTGCAACTCAGAACCCATACCCGCTCTCTTTTTTTGGAAGGGAAAATAGCTTGTTTTTAATAGGGACTCAGACTTGGGGGTTGGTACCAAAGACTCAGACTCAGGACTTGGACCAAAAGACTCGCCATCATCCCTGCCTCTTGATGGCATAGCCATGCTATTGAAAGGACTGATTTAAGAAGCATCAGAAAGACTTGGCTGGTGCCACTATGAATAGAATCTTAACAGTCCTCCTTAGGGACATAGTTCTGTTTATCTGCTCAGGAAAGCTAAAAGATATTACAGTTTTTCAGTCACCAGTTTTAAAAAGTAGCTACATTACGTAGCCTTCCTTTTTGCACCAAAGATGTTGATTTGCATCTCTGTTTCAGGATCAAGGCAGATTCTTTAGACCCGGCTATGATGTATTTTAATAATCATGATAGAGGAAATTATACTCCATTGAGCCAATTTCAACTTTTAGTGACTGTTTTCTGAGTTTAAATAGTCCCTTCTTCTGGGTGTGTTCTGGAACACTGTAGGTACCCAAGTCAACACAGGCAAAACTCTTCTTCAACAAGGCACAGTTGGGAGGACTAAACTCCTGACCCCTGAACACAGACATAAAACATCATTCAGTAAGGTTGGCCCATAGCCACAGAGGCATGGAAAGTCAGGATGGAGTAGTAGCTATTTCAAACAACCCTCTGACAGAGACAGGCTAGCCATTTTTCCCATTGGGCTTCCTTGCCCTGTCTACAAATGCATTTATTTCCACATAGAGGAGGATGAGCCTATTTAATAATGTAAGATATTACATTTTGTCAATTGCTATTGTGTCTCACAGATTTTTAATCCAGTTGTGCTGTGGTCTAAGAGTTGGGTTGCCACCCCCAAATTCCTCCACAGAAGAACCAAGGAGTATTCAGCTTTGCTGGCCACCTTCATTATATTCAACACAATTATACTGCCCCAACACACACAAAATCTGATTACAGGCTCACAATAATGGCTTTCACTAGTCTCAGCAAATGGGGGTGGGGAATGACTAAACTTGAAGCTACAGTATTATATATTGGGCACATCACAAGAAGAGAACACGGAATTCTTTATGTCTGCAATTAATGGCTTATTTTGGTCTTCAGCAAATTCGGGGGGGATTAGAAAGGACTAAACTGAGTCTATCATATTTTGAGCACATCATGAAAAGACAAGACTCACCAGAAAAGACAATAATGCTTGGGAAAGCTGAAGACAGCAGTAAAGGAGGAAAACTGAATAGGAGGTGGATTGACTCAGTAAAGGAAGCTGTGGCCTGGAGTTTGCAAGAGTTGAATGCGGCTGTTAAGAATAGCACTTTCTGGAGGCCACCAAGGCTACCTCAAGTCAAAGACAACTTGACAGCATATAATAAGAACAAATGAATGATGGACAGAATGATTGTTTTGTTGACCTCATAATCATGGGAACAAAAAGTAGGCTTGTTAAACAGAATGGGCATTTTGGAGCACTGTCTCTACTTCCCGCATTTCAATGACCTCTGACCTCATTGTTTACAATTCCTGATCACTGCAATCATTACCATATGTCGATACTCCAGTAACTAAGGAAAAAATGTCATACATCCAACAGGGTCGACTGCAGCCCCAAGAGTGTGCACCAAAATAAATATGTTAGCCACGGAAGCGCTGCAAGACACTGTTTTCACAGCAGTAGTTTAAAAGGGCTGGGCCTCTGGACACTGCAAGAAGCTGAAATGGTTTCACTCACTTTGATTAATCTAAGCGGGTAGTTTAGAAAGTATATGAAAGTATCTCCAGACCTGTCTAACATCTCTAGGTTGAACTTTGACATTTCATTAAGTAGAAAGGCATTTTTTACCCAAACCAAACATCAATCATAATTAAGAGCATCTCTTTTATGTTAAACCCGCCATCCTTTTGAAAATCCAAGATGTATCATGCAATCTGTATAAAGATACCAAAGCCAGAGAGCAGGGGAAGAAAACAGAGGAAATGTTATTTGTTTCTGAGAACACAATTTGCCAACTTGACTGTGAACCCACTAGGAATAAAATGCTGGAAAAGTAGCAAAGAAGAAGACAAGGAAATTCAGTGAAACTGCTTATCAAGTGCATTTATTTTTAAAGAATTTCTTGTTTTCAGCTGCTGTGCTTCTCAAGTGTATTCACAGGATAAACTATGGGGAGCTGTGGAACTACAGAGAAGCATAAAAGTCTTGAAAGAACAGCACATGCTGTGGGTTTCCAGCCCCTGACTTAAGATCCCATCGTGGCTAAGCCCTTGAAGTCATGCTGAAAAATCAGTTCCAGATGGATGTTCCTCTGTATACGCTACATTTCCAAACACTGAAGCTGGGGAGGAGACTAACTCAGGAAATCAATCTGTCCATGCTACCGCTATGCAGAGACCCCCTTAAAATTATTTTGCAGATTTTTAACAAACGGCAATT